CTTTGAGTCAATTAAAGGTACATGGAAGGGCAGTTCGACTTTGTTAGAAATGTTTTCTCATTTCTGCCTCATTCCTTGAGCTATCTGTGGCATTGTGACAGTGTGATACATCACAGTGTACTAGTGCTACTACTGCAACAGTACTCAGGCCAGCAAGAAGTGAGCAGGGTTGAAGACTTTGCAGCTGCTTTATCCTGCTGCTGACTTATTTTACTTCCCTTCTAGAAGCATTTTCCCACCTCTTACTTCCATTTCTGATTACTTCTTTAAACATTCATCCCCTCACCAAAACCCCATTTCACTGTTACCTTTCCACGTGGTCACAACAAAAGTGCTCGGAGATAAACCAGGAATACTGAATTAAAAATCTCCTGTTAGGGCAAAGTATGGATTGAAACATTTAAGGGAAGACAGATCAGGAAAAACAACCCCAGTTTTTTGTCTTTAGTGCATTTTGAAATGAAGTAATTCAGCAATGAAATCTGAGTATATAAAATGACTGAACCACTGTGACTGCCAGGTAAGTACCAGTTAAGGATGACAGATTATAGCAACACCATAGGAAAATGTCTTTCAATCAAGTTTCACTGATAGCTTAATACATGTAAGAAACATGTTTCAAAATACAAGTATCTTCATCATTTGAAACTCAGAGGGACTCTTCACTAGGGACTGTAGTGACAGGACAAGGGGTAACGGGTTCAAACTGAAACAGGGGAAGTTTAGATTGGATCTAAGGAGGAAATTCTTTCCTGTGAGGGTGCTGAGGCACTGGAATGGGTTGCCCAGGGAGGCTGTGAATGCTCCATCCCTGGCAGTGTCCAAGGCCAGGTTGGACAGAGCCTTGGGTGCCATGGTTTAGTGTGAGGTGTCCCTGCCCATGGCAGGGGGGTTGGAACTGGATGATCTTAAGGTCCTTTCCAACCCTAACTATCCTATGATGTTATGATTCTATGATATCAAAGGTCTCTGTCCTGCCAAGCTCTTTAACATCTGATTATATTGGTTCTGCCTCCTTCACTGAGCGCAGGTTGAAGCCACTTTCCCACAGACAATAGACAACATCTCATCTCTTGCTGCTGTTTGCCAGAGCACACAGAAGAGATTGTTCACCATCCATGTTCTGTTCACAACATCAGTTAATTCCCACTCACAGCAGGTAAAGGAAAGATATTTTCCCCCGTCGGTGTGTTTTGGCTTCTCTGAGACCCAGACAGCTCTCGCTTAGGATCGATTCTGTGTTCAGGATTGTCTTTCATCTATGGAAATGAGCCACTCTCTTAACTCCTATATGAAATACACTGTTTGGTATTTCCTGGTGTGCACCAGCAAGAGTTAAACATGGGCATGGAATGTAGGTGCTTGTCTCGTGCTGGAATTCCATGTAGCGCACCATTTAAGTAAATGGCACTTAAGAAGAATGTAAAACGCCCCTTAAAATGAATGGGATCACCCCTTAATGTGCCCAAATTGTCCTTAACACTGGGTAGCCTCAGCACCATTCATCATCCTGTATTATGAATGATATTGTCCACAGTTTCTGCCTTAAAGTGAAATCTCTTGTGAAGCTGCAGCCTGGGGAGGGATTCCCCTTGACATTTTAAGGTGCAGCTTGAGATCTTGATTCCCACCAGCTTCTTCTCTTTGAAAGGCACAAACAAACGCAATAAATCTTTTAAAACCTTTTCTGTGACTCTTTTTCAGCAAGCAAATGTAAAACTACACTTCCTCTTCCCTCCCACCCCAGCAGCTTTAATAAAGAGCTCACAGGTAAGAGTGAGGAATTTTATTGGAGCTGAGGGACAAGGTCAAGAATCTGGCAAGAAAAATAGATATTCGCCAGTGAGAAAAGTTATAAATGAATAGAGCTGATTGGCCTTTCCTGGGAGGGAAAGAGGCCTGGGGTAATTGAGGGTATTTTATTCATGCAAGCTGGTGACTGCAAAGTGAATTCAAGTTTAAGGTTCCACTACTCTTGGTTTCCTTCAGAGGAATGATGATGTGATTTGGGGCAACTGTTTCTCATGCAATACTGTCATTGACTGTTGTGCAGTAACTGTAGGAAAACCTACATCAAATCATGGAGATAACTGGGAGAATGCCATCGTTTTAGTGCCCCATAGGCTTTCTCATTTGAGGTGAATTGTTCATGTCCTCAATGACAGAACTCTTTTATGTTGCCAGTGGTTTAAGAACCTTCCCCTGCACCTCAGCAGAGCCCCCTTCACCTCCCTGTTCCTCAGGCTGTAAATGAATGGGTTGAGCATGGGGTTGACCATGGCATAGAAGATGGAGGCCACCTTTTCCAGGCTCCTGTAGCTAGATGGAGGTTGTAGGTACATGAAGAATGCTGTCCCATATAACAAGGCAACAGCCATTAAATGGGAGGCACAGGTGTGGAAGGCTCTGGCCCTGCTCTGTGCTGAGCACATCCTCAGCACGGTGCAGGTGATAGAGATGTAGGAGAGCAAAATGACCACACTTGCACACACTGCATTGATGGTGAATAAGGCAAAGATGACCACCTCACTGCTGTGGGTGTCAGAGCACACGAGCTTTGGCACTGGGACTGCATCACAAAAGAAGTGGTCAATGTGGTTGAGACCACAGAAGGAACCTCCAAACACGCACCATGTGCAGATGATGGCAGTGAGGAAGGCGAATAAGTAGCTTGATGCTACCAGCTGCCAGCAGACGCGGCTGGAGATGATGGTCACATAAAGCAGGGGCTGGCAGATAGCAACGTGCTGGTCATAGGCCATCATGGCCAGGAGGTGACACTCACTAATAGCAAAGAAGGCAAAGGTGAGGAACTGCATCATGCAGCCAGAGAAAGAAATGGTTCTGTCCTCTGATAACAGGTCTGCCAGCATCACACACACACAGTATGCTACAGATTGGAAGGGACCTCAAAAGTTCATCTAGTCCAATCCCCCTGCCGGAGTAGGAACACCTAGATAATGTTAAACAGGAATGTGTCCAGGCATCCTGGGGGAGATGACTGTGGAACAGCAGATGTCAGTGAAGGCAAAATGGGAGAGGAAGAAGTACATGGGGGTGTGGAGGCTGGGAGACACCCGAACCAAAGTGGCAATGTAAATCAACAGAAACAAGACAAAAAGAGGGGTCTGGGCACATGGGATTTCTGTCATTCCCAACAGATGAATTTAGCCTGGGTGTGATTTCCTCCCTTGACCAGGTGTTACCTGCTGAGGTAAAAATAATACAAAAATAATTACAAATTGAGATTCACTTTTGGACCATTTATTACTGCAATCATTAACCTGTATAACTGCCATATTTTAGTATATTAATACTTTATTTTATAAGAGAAATTTTATATGGTTTATGGTTTTAAGTTGTGGTATTTAGAACACGGAATGCATTGAAGCAACAGAAATGGCTTCTTTGGTTTTCTCTGCTGAGACACTGAAACTATGGATTTATTCAATCGTGTGTTTTCAGGTTTGGGAAAAGAATGAGATCTTTGTTCACTTTCCGTTTGGAGGCAAGTATGTCAGAAGACACTTCAGCGGAACTTCATGGAGAGTGCATGGCAACTCAGAGCAAGATGAGTTCCCGGTCTAAGTGAAATCCCAGCTTAAACATGCATTAGCTCTGGGCATTTCCCTTGGCTTGTAATTATCACTCCAGTCACCAAATCACAATTATCAAACTATTTGAGATCATTCAAACAGGAAAAATTTACAATTTACGTTGGTAAATTGGACATCTGGACCCTTCTGAGCTTCAGCACGATGAAGCATTCAAAACCCATGGGTGTTAAGATGCTTGCTTTAAAAAGGAGTTGATGTTTCATCAGCCTGATTCCAAAGGCTGATTTATTCATGTCCTTGATGATCGAACTCTTTTATTTTGCCAGTGGTAGAACAACCTCCTCCTGCACTTTGCCAGAGCCCCTTTCACCTCTTTATTCCTCAGGCTGTAGATGAAGGGGTTAAGCATGGGGTTGATCACAGTGTAGATAATAGAGGCAACTTTAGCCATCAAATGGGAGGCACAGGTGTGGAAGGCTCTGGCCCTGCTCTGTGCTGAGCACACCCTCAGCACAGTACAGAGAATAGAGATGTAGGAGAGCAAAATGATCATGCTCGTGCCCACCACGTTGATGGTGACAAAGGCAAAGATGACCATCTCGCTGCTGTGGGTGTCGGAGCACACGAGCTTTAGAACAGGGACAACATCACAGAAGAAGTGGTCGATGCGGTTGGGACCACAGAAGGAACCTCCAAACGTGCACCACGTGTAGACGATGGCACTGAGGAAGGCAAAGAGGTAGGATGATGCTATCAGCTGCCAGCAGACGCGGTTGGAGATGATGGTCACATAAAGCAGGGGCTGGCAGATAGCAACGTGCCGGTCGTAGGCCATCATGGCCAGGAGATGACACTCAATAGTAGCAAAGAAAGCAAAGGTGAGGAACTGCATCATGCAGCCAGTGAAAGAAATGGTTTTGTCCTCTGATAACAGGTCTGCCAGCATCCTGGGGGAGATGACTGTGGAATAGCAGATGTCAGTGAAGGCAAAATGGGCGAGGAAGAAGTACATGGGGGTGTGGAGGCTGGGAGACACCCGAACCAATGTGAAAATGCCAAAGTTCCCCACCTGAGTGACAATGTAAATCACTAGAAACAAGACAAAAAGAGGAGCCTGGGCACATGGGCTGTCTGTAATTCCCAACAGGATAAATTTAGTCTGAGTGTCATTTCCTCTCATGACCAGGTGTTACCTCCTGAGGCAAAAGGAAGAGAAACATCAAACTGATCAAAAATGGACATTCAGATTTGGACCATATCTAACTCCAATCCAACCATTTTAACTGCCATAGAATAACTGCAAATAGAATTTTCCATTTTATTTTCTAACCAAAATTATATCTATTTTATGTTTTTCAGATGAGGTAATCAGAAAAGAACATGGAGTTTCTTGAAGCAAAAAAGGGCATTTTTGTTTTTCTGTGGTGGAATAGTTAAAACTCTGGAGTTACTCAGGCACGTGTGTTTTCAGGTTTGAGCAAAGATTCAGATCTATATTCACTTTCAATTTGAAGGAAATTTGTATCAGAAGACACCTCAGAGGAACCTCATAGGATTGCATGTAATCGTGGATCAAGAGAAATTGTCAGGCGCAGTGAAAGCCCCTCTTACACATGAATGACCTCCAGACATTTTCCCTCGGCTTTTACTTATCATTCCAGTCACCAAATCACATTTACAAAACTATTTGAGATCATTTACATCAAATAACATTGACATTGGTAAATTCATGATTTATACACTTCTGAGTTACAGCAGGCTATAGCATCTTAAACATATGGGCATTAAGTTTCTTGCTTTAAAAAGGAATTTGTGTTCTAACAGGCTGATTCCAAAGGCTCATTTGTTAGTGATTATATTCTGATGACAATCTGAACTGTTGCATTTCTGTATAACAGAATAAGAGTCATCTTCATTTAACTCTTGAATAAATCAGTGCATCTTGTTTTAGCTGCCTATGCAAAAGAAACACAGCATGCATCAGACATTACTCCCCCTTATAAAGAAAACCCACACTGGTAAGGCTGTTTTCTGACACAGTTTTACCTAAGAGGACTCAAGAACATGAAGACAAAAGCACACGGCCTCAACGCAGGTGAGGCTCTGCCTTGTGTTGGTATTACCTCCTGTGCCTTCCCTCTGCCATCAAGTGATGGGAGTCAAGGGTTTATCTCCAATGCAGCAGAGAACATCTACATGTCAGCATCACTTCTGTTAAGCACCTGATGTGAAGAGAGGTGAGCTCCTGCCAGACTCCAAGAGCCCAGCTTGTGGTGCTGGGGCTGTAAATACAGTTGCCTGTGCTCTCCTGGGAGGAAGCCTCCAGGGCTGCTCATGCTTTACCAGAGGAAAACAAAAGGAAAGGAAAAGCAAAGGGTGTGAAATCACCTCTGAAAGGCATTGTGGTGCTTGGGAATCTGAGAGACATGGTGTGGGTGAGCCATCCCTGAGAACAGCTACACAGTTATGGGTAGCTCATAGGATGCTTCTGACATACTTGTGGACCATGCAAATGTTTTGGTCTGAACATACAGACACAATGAAAATGGGTTTATAGACATTCCAGATCTTGCACACAGTCCTCAAAAGGAACATGAAGAACAAGTGATTCCATCTCTGGAGCTGCTGATGCTCCTCTGTGGAGGGTGAACCCAGTTTTCCAGCCCAAATGGGGTTATTCACATGTAGTGTCTGGATGTCCAGCAGCTGAGCGGGTGCCTCAGGACTTCCACTGTATTCAAGGATGAAAAACAGGCATTTTGAGGCAGGGAGGAATTGTCCCAGGGTGAACTAACAGGCCTTTATCCCCCTGACCAGCCTCAGCTGGGGCTCCATCCCCACCCTCCTCCTATTGTTCCCCCATCTCTATTTAAGCTCAGAACAGGCAGATTAGTCTTTACTAGAGGAGTTTGCAGCCAAACTTGTGACCTATGACTTGAGCAAAAGGAATTGAAGATGGGTGGAAAGCTGCTTCATTGCCTGTGGCGCCTGACATTGCTGATGGATGCTGGTACCAGCTCCCATTGGCGAGGTTCCCCTCATCTACCTGCCATGATAATGTCAACCATGGCCCTCATGGAGCTTTAAATACCTCAGAAATGCTCCAAAAGTGGATGTGAAAGGTGGGGTTGTTCTGTGGTTTGCTCTAAGTGAGCCCAAAGTCCTGCTGCTCTCTCAAGCTGAGGTCATCTCCTCTGGGTACACTTGTTCTCCAAACTAATCAACACAGGTTAGCTTGGTGTCAGAGAAGAAGAGCATTGCTTATGCTGCGTGCGTAGCTCAGGTCCTCATCAATGATATCTTTGGGATAACTGAATGCTTCCTGCTGGCTGCAATGGCCTATGACCGTTACGTGGCCATTTGCCATCCCCTGCTGTACCTCCTTGTCATGTCCCCAAAGTGCTGTTTCCAGCTGGTGACTGCCTCGTACCTCGTGGGGCTGACCAATGGCGTGGGACAGACCATCAGCATGTCCACCCTGTCCTTCTGCAGCTCCAGCGCCATCAGCCTCTTCTTCTGTGACATTTCCCCTCTCATCTCACTCTCCACCTCTGACACCACCCTCAGCCACATCATCCTGACCACTGCAGCAACTCTCTTTGGTGTGTCCAGCAGCCTGGTTGTCCTGCTCTTCTACATTGCCATCACCGCCACCATCCTGAGCATCAATTCAGCTGAGGGCAAGCGCAAAGCCTTCTCCACCTGCACCTCCCACCTCACCACTGTCAGCATCCTCTATGGGGCATGCTTTTTTATGTATTCATTCCCCAGCTCAGACAGCTCAAGAGCAGCAGATAAATGGGCTGTGGTGCTCTACACCGTGGTGACTCCCATGCTGAACCCCTTGATCTACAGCCTGAGGAATAAGGAGGTGAAGGAGGCGTTGAGGAGGCTCACAAAAATAAAATGATCTTGAACTCTCCAAATATAGGGCCCGATAGAATGGAAATGTAGAGGGTAGATGCTCAGCTTTTGGTTAAGTATGGATAACATGTTGGGGGTCATCTGCACCCAGCCTTATGTGACGCACTGGTTGATGTGACTGAGAATACAAACAGTTTCATTCTCTAAACTTTGATAAATATATTTAATAGTTATTTTCACCTAATTGGTTAATTAGTCATTTATTTCACCTAATCAAGGCTCAGGTAGACAACTACAAGTCTCTTCATCTTAGGATAAGGGGGGACCTTATTGCCCTCTACACCTACCTGACAGGAAGATGGAGCCAGGAGGGGACTGTTCTCTGCTCCCAAGGAAGAAGGGATGGGACAAGAGGAGACGGCCTCAAGCTGCACCAGGGCAGGTTTAGATGGAGCTGAGGAACAATTCCTGCCCCAGAGGGTGCTCGGGCATTGGAACAGGCTGCCCAGGGCAGCGCTGTAGTCACCGGCCCTGCAAGTGCTCACAAACCCTATGGACAAGGCCCTCTGTGCCACGGGTTAGTGGTGGCCTTGGCAGTGCTGGGGAACGGTTGAACTTGAGAAGCTTAAAGCTCTTTTCCTTTTTGCTCTCCCTTTTGCTTGGCAAATGAGAATAAACAGAGAGTGAATTCTATCGTTGCACTGAATCAAATTACATTTCTAGACAGTGTTGTTAAATTCATTGAAAGCCTTAAGAAAAGGACAAAAATAAGAAAAGGACAAAAACACCTTCAGCAAGAGAAATAGAGATGACAGCAAATAAGTGTGATGCCATGCAGGCAGTATTATTCGTTTTTGATGTACAAACCTCATTCAATGATTTCCAGCACCATTCCCCTCATTTCATTTCAGACAGCAAAGAATTTAAGTGAAATATGGTACTTGTGTGACCTCTGTTATGAATGAAAACGCTTTGAAAGTGTTTTAAGACGTGATAGCCATGAATCCACACCAAAGGGCAGAAAATATAAAGGAATCCCCATCTACTCTCTGCACCTTTGCTTTCCATCCCCCTGTTGGCAGCAATAGAAGCCATGATCTCCATGATCACAACAGAGCACAGGAACTGTGGTGCTGCTCATCAGCCTTCAGACCTCCTACGTGGCAGCCCATGGCAGCCTGGAGCAATGGCATTGCCTGCCCTGACGCCTCTCCTGCTGCCTTCCTGCTCAGAGAGCTGAATGATGATGGACACACATTGTATACATAAACCACCCCAAAATACTGCACTGTGTGCATTACCTCAGCCCATAGAGCTGCAGCCACTGCCAGGACCATGGTGAAACCTGGAGCCATGGCTGAGCCTTAGGGCTATACTAGAGACATGAAATAACTTGGGCTGGAGGGAGAAGCTCCATGATTGAATCGAATCAATCCAGGATCAAAGTGTTTGCTGATTCCTTAACAACCCACATCTAACAGGCACCCAGGATCAATCAGCTTAATCCTGCTTTGTTCCCAAAGCTTCCTGATAATTCTCCGGTTATTATTTAACCCAGATGATGGGTTTTGTCCTCCTCAGGCTTTGGGACAACCTAAGACAGAGGTTTCACACCCTCCCTGGCCTCTATATCAGTGTTTGACTGCTCTTAAAGTGGGGTTTTCCCCCTCCCTCTGTTTCTAACAGGAATTTCCCATGCTGCAAA